GTCGAGAGGGCACTGGTCGAACTGGTAGTTCTCCTCGCCGAGGTCGATCTTCACCCGCCTGAAGCCATCTTGTAGGTCTTCCCACCACTCTCTCGGACTGGTGGCTAACCCGAACATATTCTTCTTCACCCAGACTAGCTGTCCGGGCTTCATGCCCGGGAACCCGGTGACCGGCTGGCTGATGAAGAGCTCCTCGTCCCTGTCCAAGTAACTCCCAGTAAGGAAGGCACACTGGATATCACCGGTCGCCATGGATCTGGAGCACGGAGACCGTTGGCCAAAACCTGCAGCAAACACAGCAGTCCGGGTCTGGAGATCGTCGGCGAGTCTGTGGACAACTGGCCCTTCTCCAAATCCGGGTCCTTGTGACCCGCTATAACGAGTCTGGACTTGCACTTCCACTCGACCTGCTCCCCCTGTCGCCTGCGCGACCAGTTCTTGTCCTTGTAAGCCCATCTGGCTCCCAAGACTCTTTCCGCCCCGATGTTTGCTCTCACCCAAGCTGTCTGCGTATCATCCAAGGGCTCGAGCGCATCGAAATGAAGATGCTCGCGCCACTGCTTCTCCTCCGCGTCGCGGAACTTCTGGCGGTACTCCCCGGGGATTTCTGTCCACTTGAGCTCCTTCTCCTGTCGCTTCTCCAACCCTCGGCGGGTCAACTTCCGCCGCATCATCATCATGACCTCCGACGTGTTGGTGGCCAGGTTCGCATCCCACTCCACGGTCTCAGGTGGCGTCTTCCTCTTCATCCTCCGCCGAGGATGCTCGTCTCCGCGGTCGTGGTAGTCGTCGAGCTTCACGGGGTTCTCGGCCTCGTCCTCGTCCAGGAGGCGTCACCCTCGTCATCGCAGCCAGTGTCATCGAGCTTCGGGACAGGGTCTCCTTGAGACGGAGCGTAGTCGGACGTGTGGTCGTCCTCTTCCTCGTCGGGCTCGCTCTGCTAAACCTCCTCATTGTCGAGGTCCTCTTGGAGCAGGAGCTCCACCTCCCGCTTCACCCCGGCCATCGACAGGAACTCGCCCGATTCTTCGGGCCCAGAGGGTCGGAGGTGTTCTGGCGAAGTCAAGCGGCACCGCCCGCCCTGTGCTATCCAGTAGTTCGGACCTTCGCGTCCAACCACCACAGCCGGACCTATCCATCGGCCCTGTCGTCTGTCTTTCGGCTTGTTCCAGTAGCGCACGGCCTCCCCGTGCTCAAAGGGCCGTGTGGCTGCGCGCGCTCTTTGCATGAGCGCTCGCCGAAGTTTGGCATCTCCTTCGCTTTTATGAAAAGCGATTCTCGCGCTGGCTCGTATGGCCGCCTCTCTCTGAAACTTGGCCTCGGTGGAGATGTCGAAGGAAAGGCGTTCTCCACCATCAGGATCTTTGAGATCTGGAGGAACTCGAGCTTCTCGTCCGAACACCCATGCAGCTGGGGAGTGGCCACAGCGCCGTCGCAAGCTATTTTTTGCAGAGTTTACCATTGTCGCTGCCAGTTTCACTTCTTCGGCCCCCACGCTCATCCTGGAAGACCATATGTCACTTAA